TACCCTTCATATAATGATCTCACAATCTACAGTGGTGCCACAGAAAGGGCCTTGCATCGGTGGATCTCAGGTAGTAATTATGATTACACCAATACAGGTCAAGGTGGTGGAATGATTATGTACAACGGCATGCTTTACTATAACTGCTACAACACCTTGAACATCTGCAAATATGACTGGAGAAACCATGTGTTCACCAGAGCAGCTCTCCCTGGTGCCACATATACAAACCGCTTCTCCTACTCTCACACTGCTTGGCAGGACATTGACTTCGCAGCTGATGAAGAGGGTGTTTGGGTCATTTATTCAACTGAGCAGAAAGCTGGAAATATTGTTATCAGCAAACTTAATGCTACAACTCTTGAAGTACTGCAGACCTGGCACACTTCTCAGTACAAACCTGCAGTCACCAATGCTTTCATGGTGTGTGGAGTCTTATATGCCACTCGAGCCATCAACACAAAGCAAGGGGAGATCTTCTACATGTATGATACCAAAAGTGGTGAAGAAGGGAAGTTGAGCATAATTTTCGATAAGCTAAAGGAAAGAGTGCAAAGTCTGTCCTACAATTCTAATGATCACAGGCTCTACATGTTCAACGATGGCTTCCTGGTTCATTATGACCTTTCTTTCACATCCTCATCCAAACCCAAATCCAATATTATACATTCCAGAATGAACCCCATAAAAATGAAGTAGATGAGCCAACAGCCATTGTGATCACCCCCATACCAACCATGAAACAAAGTACCAATGTGTGAAGATTTCCAGTGTCTGACAGTAATGAGAAAACCAAGATACATGGGAATGCTTGTGGCATAACACGTATAATGAAGAACTATTCCAAACTCCAAACCTAACTTTCAAATGTATTCTTACTGTTGTGTGTTAAAATCAATGTTAGATAACAATTTACAGAGAAATGTTTAATCTTCATCTGTTTACATTAGTTCTAAATCAAAGGCTGATGCGAACTGGATTCTATGTGATTTCTTATTAAATAGCAATTAAATAAACTCTTAAGCATGACATAATTTACGAGTTAATTTTTGCTATGTTTTGATTTGTGTGTAGCGCTCCCTCTTTCCAGTCTGCGCTATCCTGATATAGGATAACACTACCGGTGGCTCTGAAGGGGTAATCTACAGTAAACTGAACTAACGGGTCTCCCTGTTTTTCATCTACTATGGATCCACAGGCCTTCAACACTTACTGCCCTTCTGTTGAATGATTGAAGTAAGGCCCAGTCTGTGGTCATGATGCTTGAAATATTTATTGAAGAACTTCAGGGAGAGAGAGGTAGAGGAGGGTTAGGATCATCCAGACAGATGTAGACTTTATGGCTTTTCAGAGAGAGTGTGTTTACAGCTTCCATGCACAGCAGGTCAGGCACCTGACACAGTATTACATGAGGTAGAAGTTACTGATCCTTGTCTTTAGGAGCAGCAACCACTGGACCTGCTGCCACCAGGTTCCAGGATGATCCCATGGCTAGTTCCCAGACTTTGAGCCCTGGTCAGCTTAGGCAGTCCAGCGCAGCCTCCCTGCAGGCAGGGACTGGGGGAGGAAGTAGGGTTGCCACCTGTCCGGGATTCACCCGGACAGTCCGGTTTTTGAGTCTTGTGTACGTTAGACAGGCCAGCTATCACCCGTACACATTAAAGTGTTCCCCTGTTTCTCGGCAGAGATTGATCTCCACCCTTCCAGCACTTTACCCGTGCTTGCTCCCTGTTTCCTTCCACATTCCATAGGCAGTTGATGCTCCTCCTACCTCTTAGAGATCCTCTCAATGATTAATCACGTGATGCCCTGGTCTTCTGCATCAGCCTCATCTGCAGAGCTTAAAAAGGTACCGTATGTTTGTATGTCACAGTCACTTGTCCAAACAAAACACTTTTTTAAAATAACATATGTGCCCCACCACATGGGGCAAGCCATATGTCTGTGGGTGGTAGGCATGCTAGGAGTTGTAGTTCTGTGGTAACTATCAGCAGTCCTGTGGGTGAGGGGAGGTTTGCTTAGACTTGTAGTCAGGTATTACCAGTGTCTGAGAGTATCTAGGAAGGCCAGGTTTTGCCAGTGTCTGAGAGTCTCTAGGATGGCCAGGTATTGCCAGTGTCTGAGAGTGTCTAGGGAGGCCAAGTATTACCAGTGTCTGAGACTGTCTAGGAAGGCCAGGTATTACCAGTGTCTGAGAGTCTCTAGGATGGCCAGGTATTGCCAGTGTCTGAGAGTGTCTAGGGAGGCCAAGTATTACCAGTGTCTGAGACTGTCTAGGAAGGCCAGGTATTACCAGAGTCTAAGGGAGTCTAGGACAGCCAGGTATTACCAGTGTCTGAGAGTATCTGGGAAGTACAGGTATTACCAGTATCTGAATGTATCTTGGAAGGCCAGGAATTACCAGTGTCTGAGAGTCTCTAGGACAGCCAGGTATTACCAGTGTCTGAGAGTATCTAGGAAGGCCAGGTTTTGCCAGTGTCTGAGAGTCTCTAGGATGGCCAGTTATTGCCAGTGTCTGAGAGTATCTGGGAAGTACAGGTATTACCAGTGTCTGAGAGTGTCTTGGAAGTCCAGGTATTACCAGTGTCTGAGAGTGTCTAGGAATGCCAGGTATTACCAAAGTCTGAGTCTCTAGTGTAGCCATCCTGTCAAAACAGGAGTGTCTGTTTAAATTAACTTGCTTTCAGATTGTATTCAGTCTGATTCTGATTTAATAGTCTATGCTTATTTGGTTAACACTAAGCACTTTGTTATCTTTTGCATCTGCCTGCTAATGGGGGTATCCTTGCAACAGAGCAGTGCAAGCAGCAATTGAGTTATGAAATAGTTATGAATATCCATGTCTCTCTAGCCAATCACTAGGAAGTTCATGGCAAGTAGTGCATGCTGGGAGAGGACATAAATATTTGGAGCGTACCATGTGAGGCTCTCTTTGTTCCCTGGGCTCCTGCCTTGGGGGAGGCTGCTTTTGACTGTCTAATCTGGCTAGGCCTGAAGCCTAGAAAGCATAGCCATGTGGTCACACTGCAGCCTGAGTCTGGGGCCTAGTGACTTAAGTTAGTGATGGAGAAGAAAGAGAAAAAGTTCACCAGGTGTGGGCAGCCTGAGACGTGATTATCTGTGTCTCGATGAAGATGTCTTCTGAAATTGACTGGTAGCTTCTGATTTAAGTACTGCACAGCCAGGAGCTCAAGACACTGATTGCCAAAATTGGCTTAAAGGTTCTCTATCTGTGAAGGCTGCAAGTACTTTGTTCTACCATCTATTGGAGTCTATTACAACCTGAGTGTCCTGTGCCCTAACCCTATCTCCCAGAGTTTTATAATAAAGTTCTTTAGCATCACATTTTCTGTGTGGACTTCAGTTTATTGGTTGCCAATGGAGGGCTAGTGACTTGGGGCAGCAATACTATTGATAGCCCTAGACAGGCTAGGAGAACCCGTAAATTCCAGCAGCTCCTTCAGGGCTGAGTGCTACACTAGAAAAGCCAGGTATTACCAGTGCCTGGAAGTGTCTAGCAAGACCAGGTATTACCAGTGTCTGAAATTGTTTAGGAAGGCCAGCTATAGGTTCATTTAACCACTTGCCGTCCGCCCATTGTAAAAAAACGGAGGGACGGCACTGCAGCATTGGCGGGTTTTCTGCTCGCGCGCGCCCCCTAGCACGGGCAGAAAAGACCCGACCAATGCAAACACCCGTTACCGGGTGTTTCACATATAGAAACCCCCAAAATTTTTAACTCCCCCAGCCCCACGTTTACGCACCTATAAATGTAAATACACGTCCGGTGCCCCAGCGCGCAAAAACGACAATTGCGCTACACATGTTACATATCGCTGCGAACGTCGCAGTGAGAGCAATCATTTTAGGGCCATCAATCACTGATAACACTAAACTGATGAGCGGTAACAGCTTTTAAAGCGTCGCCTATGGCCAATTTTGGGTATTATCGTTTTTTGAGGTTTCGCGCGCGCACACAATTTTAAGGTTTGACATGTTTGGTATCTTTTTACCCGACGTGACCCCGTCTTTTATATTTTACAAAAAAATTGGGTAATAATAAATGTTTTATCATTTAATATTGGGGAAACTGTTTTTTTTTAATTTCGGTAATTTTTCCTTAATATAGGAATATATATATTCCTAGGGCTCAGTTTTAAATAGGGCAGTGCTGAGTAATATTTTGTTCTATTGGTGCAACCACATTTTTTGACAAGCTTCAGAGAGAACCCTTTTCTTTATCAAGTTGAGAAACACTGTCATTTTACACCAGTATTTTCTTTCTGTTGTGGTTGTCATGAGGAAGGGAAGAGAAGGCATGGACAGCAAATAATAATAATGTCAGAAGTTCTAACTGTTCCTCACTCTAACAAATATATGTTGCACTTTCTGCCTGTGGCCCTGATAACGAGATTTGCTATCACTTTCTGTGCTTACCAGAAGTGTGGGAAAATCTCCCTTCACCACTCTATCCCTAACAAACCAAAACAATTGAACTTTTAAGACATTTGTTTCAATGCAGCAGTATAGCAGTTTTTTGTTTTTTTATTTTGTTTTTGGTGGACACCTGTTAGAGTAGATTGTGCCCACTTGACCACAATCCAAAGTCTTTTTATAGCTGATGACCAAACACCTTGTTCATATTTCAGTTACTTTATTTTTAACATGAAATCACAGTCTGATTTTGTTTAAATACATTCTTAAGTAATTCTTATTTGAACATATCAAGGCTGATTAACACTCCTCCCCCTCAAAATTTCCTGATAATTTTGTGAATTGAGATAAGATAAAACATTTTAAAGAAACCAGAGATGGTTGAAATTGATTATGTGTATAGGAGACTAGAAAATTGTTCTTATAGAAATTGCTACCTGCTCAGGAACATACAAAAAGAAACATGCTTTTACACTCTTGCACATTGGGTATTAATAGAACAGCATCGTTCATCACATGTATGTGTTTATTTGCTAACATAATAATTTTTTAAAACCCATCAGTCAGACAAATTTATGTAAAATGGTCTTAAAAGTGATACAGAACACATTGTGTATATTAGAAGAAAATATGCAGAGTATACATCTTAAATGCTGCAATCTATTCTGATGTTTTTCTGAGCAGTGATAGGTATTTAGGCCAGGTAGTCAAAAGGGACAGACAGTAGTAAGAATATAAAAGCCCTAATAAGAGACAATGTACAGGGGCAAGAAACCTCAAGGCTTCATAGCAACATCATAATGTAACAGGTAGCCTTCACTGTACATGTAAATCTTGCGTTCATTTGAATTGTAACTAAGACTTTGCACTTTCTCGGCCATCTTTTCCATTACAATACTTAGCTGACCCTCTTTTCCTGTTTTGGTGTCAAACATGTAGAAGACCTCTTCCATCTTCGGGTTAAGTGAACGAGTGGCATAGAGGACTCCACAGATCATGAAAGCATTGCTTACACCAGACTTTTGCTGTGTGGTAGTCCAGCTAATATCAACAGTCAAGGTGGCAACATTGACCTTACCCACCACAATTTTCCCAGCGCTTTTTTCAGTGGTATACATAACCCAGAGACCCTTCTCATCTGAAGCAAAGTCAAAGTCTTGGTATGTAGTGCCAGCGTAAGAAACGCGGTTGTTGAACAATGCGTTAGGAAGAGGCTTTCTTTGGTAGACTCCACTGGTCAAACTAACTCTGCACATATCATGGCTGTTGTAGCAGTTGTAGTACAAATTGTTGTTGTATACAACCATTCCAGCACCTTGGCCAGCAAAGGTGTGGTTCCATTTCCCTTTAATAAGTACAGAGAGGGGTAGATCGATGAAATTCTTGTACATCTGCAGGTCGGACATGAATGGGTAAATGCGTACAGACTCAAGAACTCGTCCATCAGCATTTAGAGGAGCCACCCAGTACAGTGACCTCTTGGTGGTGTTCCATGCTGCATCTTTGCCCCATGCTCCTGACTTGTATGCACTTCCTTTCCAGTTGAGCTGCAGAAGGTTGGGTTTACCAATACGGGCTAAGCCTTGATGCTGACAAGAACCTGTAGAAAGATTTATGAAAACATTTTAACCTTTAAATCTATTCAACAGTATAATGTAGTTATTGAATATTGTACTAAAATGTAATAATGTATAATTTCATATGCAATGTAACATTGCACATGGCTCACTATAATGTATAATCAAAAAGTCTCTATTCACTTAAAAAAAGGACAACATTTCCATGTCTCCTAAATACTGTAGGCTAAGTCACAGATGCATTAATCTACCCAAGCCTATGCTTTATTTTTACCTTGTGAAAATCATCACCTAAAGATAGGTGTGACTCTGCTGAGGTTGCCTTTCTCACTGAGGTCAAACACTGTTAGCTATCCAGATATATACCTATCCATATCCCAGATTACATTGACTGGCTCTTAAAGTGACACTAAACTCAGGAGTTAATTCCTAAAAATGCATTCAAGTACCTTAACTATTAACAAAAAATGTATCTTGTTTGTGTATCACTCGGCTGGAGATCCTCAAATCATCTCTGAATTGGTGCTGACACTGTCCTTCCTTCTGGAGGGTGGCTACTTTTGTTCCCCATGGTCCCTGTGTGTTGTAAAGTAGTCATCGCTCCAAGCTCACTTCTGTGATAGACTACAATCTCAGTACAAAAGAGTAGACTAAGCGTGAGATTTTTGCAACGCAAATAGGGACCATGGGGAACAAATTTAGACCCCCTTCCAAAAGGCAGGAGGCAGCTGAGTGATACACAAATAAGATACATTTTTGTTAATAGTTGAGTTACCTGAAGGCATTTTTAAAATTTAACTCCCGATGTTGTAAGCTACATTGTACAAAAATGTCAGGTAAAGCCCAACTCTAGGCTCTGGGCTACCCTTCCCACAAGTTGTCCTCCTCCTCCCTAGAGGTCCTCTAGCAATATGTCTTGCTGTATATTTTTTTTATACCTATCTTTTCCAAAAGTCTTCAGATTGTTCACATGCGTCCTCCTCATCTTCCGAACTCCTCCGGAAGATGGGTGGGCAATCATTAATGATTCAAGTAGAGCTGATGTGAAGATGCTATTGCCGTCCTCTGTATCATTGTACTATGGGGTTAATTCACTAAAGGCAAAAAGACTGTTCACTTTGCAAGTAAAGTTTTCCTTAATTTATTGTAATTGTGAACATTTACTATGCAAGGAATCAATCAAAATAAAAAGCGCTAAAGGTATTAAATAATGTGTATAAAAAGTGGAAGATAGGTTTTCAGGCGGGTCGGCCTGGAGCCTATTAATGTATATGAAATGTGATTAATAAACCAATACAAAATTGCTGTGATAAAGATAAATCACAGCATTTATCACAGCAATTTTGTATTGGTTTATTAATCACATTTCATATACATTAATAGGCTCCAGGCCGACCCGCCTGAAAACCTATCTTCCACTTTTTATACACATTATTTAATACCTTTAGCGCTTTTTATTTTGATTGATTACCGTAGGGATTTCTTTAATCCCCTTTTTAGAGCTGCTCTGGGTTTATTAGATTTGTTCACTATTTTTAATTATTTAATTATTCACTTATTTATTCCATGTATACTACCATTTTAATTATTTAAGTATTCACTTAATTTTCCTTCTTTACTACCTCTCTCCAGAAGCGCAGATTATCTATTTACTATGCAAGGAATACCCAATCAACTGCAAGGAAAAAAAACAGTATTTTTGGTTGCAAATGGCTGGATGATAGAATTCAGCTTTACCTCGTTCACTAAGCTAAGGGGAAAATTATCCCTTGCAAAGTAAAAATGCCCCTCTGGGGTGCCAGGTCATGGAACTCTGCAATCACTGTATGACCTCAGTCTTTAAAGTTAAATATTGCTGGGTGTCATTTAACCCAGCAGGCTGAGGACATCTTTTGATGAAAATAAATTACTGTGCAGGACAGCAGTAGAGAGGGGATTGCAAACTGAGCTGCATTTTTCAGCTGCCAGGAGACCATTTTTTAATAATAAAAAAAAATAGAACTCCAAAGATGTTATTGCTATGGATTTCAACTTTGGATTTCCAACTCTACTGTCCCTTGTTAAATGTGGCTGCATTAATTAGTTATTTTGTTGAGTCTCCTCACAGCACTTCTGCCCCTGGTGAGATAAAAAGTTATCATATGACACAGAAAACTGAAAGTAAATATGTGACCAGTTAAATTAAAAGTAAACATATGTAGGCAGTAGTGTATATCATTGCAACCTCTTGTGCATGTCCATATTGTCCACATTTTATTGTAAAGGCATTTCTGACAAAAAGGCAAATTTCACCTTTTAGAAATAAATAAATGCACACTTCTTCATAAAAGAGAAAATGCATTTATTATCGTTTTGCATTAGAGCCAGTAAAGGAATCACGATGCTCTGGCTCCTGCATGCCATGTTTCATGTTACGCCCTGAATATGGGTGTAACATTAAAACATGGTAAGGAAAGTAAACTTAGCCTTTAACTAATTACTTGCTGCATGTATGTCTCAGCTATCTTACCTAAGGGCACCATCATTGGAGGTTTCGGTTTGAGACCTTTTTCACAATCCACAAGACGTTTCTTGAAATTCTCCATTTCTCTCTTGGTTTTTAGAACATTGTTCGTGTCAAGCGTTTCTAGTTGTCCGACAGTCTTTGACATATTCTTGACCTAAAAGCACAAGTTACATTGATTAAACAATGGAGTACAGCTGCTCATGGACTGGTGATAACGTTTCCATCTCCTATAGCTAAAAGTCACCTGTATTGGATATTTAAAGGACATACCTCATTATAAAGAGTTTCCACTTCAACGGTGTTTCCATTTGGTTTGACCCTCATTGCTGAGATGTACATTTCCATTTCCTTGATCTCCTTTTTCAAAACTTCAAAGTTGACTTCCATTAAGGCTTCAGGACGCAACTTCTCCAAATATTCCACTCTACTGGTCAAGTTTATAATCTTTTCCAAGTATGTGTCCAGTCGGATGTCCTGTTCGTCTAACTATAAGAAAGATGGTGTCATTTTTCAGTAAAGAGTAATACAGGTAACAGTTGCTTCATTACATAAACTACATCTGTTGTAAGCTGGCCTGAGAGAACTTCAAGCCATATTTGTAAAAACATTCATTCTTTTGTTGTATTCTATGGTGTGTCTATAAAAAGATCCCTTACAGTAAACAATTCAGTATAGCTAACTGCTAGTTACTAATTGGTAACAGTGGGCTAAAGGTTAGTAAATGTGGTGACTGTTTCTAAAATTAAAAGTAAAACAAAAATGCCTCTTAAAAAGCAAGACATGCGGGTCTATTCAGTAAACTGCCGTAGGCAGCCTAGTGAACGACCGACCTGAAGCAAAGTGAGCCGAACGCTCTTCGGATATTTAATTCAGGCTGGTACGGCGGATTCCAGCTGTATATCGGCTGAAATCAGCCGTACATCGGGTGGCTTCGCAGAAATGCAGAAGGAGTTCGGCACAGCCGATCCAACATCTGGATCGGCTAAGCCGAACCTACGGCAGGCTACTCGCTGCTGTTCGGTCTATTCTTATAGATGACGAACAGCAGTGAGTAAATAGCCGAATGCCGCTGAGCGGCAATCAGCTCAGCTGTTCTGCTCTGCGGGACCGAGCAGATTAGCAAAATAGTTAAAAAAGTTAAAAAAAACAATAGAAAATGATTGTGCGGAGCTAGCAGTGACAGCTAGCTCTGCACAACTGTTTTCTATTGGGGGCGGTTCTGCTGCCGTCAAAAAATAATAATTTCGCCATAGGAATGCATTGTTATATTCCTATTGGCTATTGCAATTTGCAAACTAGCTATTGCACCGGCCCTCTGCTACTGTCAATCACTAGAGGGGACCTGATGGAGAACTGCAGGTCCCCTATGCTGATTTACAGCAGCAGTGGGCGGGTGCAATAGCTAGTTTGCTATTGGCTATTGCAAATTGAAATAGCCAATAGGAATCTAGCAATGCATTCCTCTGGTGAAATTTTTTTATTATTATTCTGACGGCAACCAACGGCTCGATGTCAGAATAAAAAAAAAAGCAGGGAAAGGTTTACTCTGCTCGATTGAGCAGAGCAAAACGTTCCTTTAGAAAGTGTTTCTCTCCCGGGCGGTCGGGAGACGCTATCTAATATCGGGAGACTCCCGGAGCGCCGGGAGAGTTGGGCTGTCTGGAGATCAGTGTCCCTGGTTACCTGGTAACCAAGAACGCTGATCTCTCTGCAAGTGGCCAGAGCCATGGCCGGCCATTCGGCCAGCATCGGCTTTCAGTGCGGTTCAGTCGAGCCGAGGCATATGCCTTCGGCTCGACTGAGCCGCTCGGCCAACTTTGGGAGCTGTACGGGCTATAGGGAATAGCCCGTACAGCAGCCCTTCGGTTCTACTGAACCAAAGGGGTCCTGGGGCCGAAGCTCCTGGGGCCGAAGCTACGGCTAGATCCTTCGGCTGCTTCGTGAATAGACCCCATAATATACTTGCCTGTCCCACTTCTGAGTGTCAGGTGACGGGTTTCTCACCCAGCGCTGTGGTTCCTTCCTTTGGTCCCCATATCTCTACTGCGTCCTGTGCAGATGTAGAGAGGTGGAAGGAACCACAACGCTCATTGGGGGAACAGGCATCCAACACTTCCAGATGCGTGTCGAATGAGAAGAATTCTTCTGCGTTGGTGGATTAAAGATCGGCAGTGCTATAACACAATAGGTAAATATATTAAGTCTTCTATACAGTTGAACTTTTGTCTTACTTTTAAATTAAGCGACAGTATCATCTAAAAAAAGTTCTAAAAACTTGCTCCTTGAAAAGAAACCTCTTAGTGCTTACCTCTCCAGTGGGTGGAAAGTCCTACATTTTCTCTTACAGAGCTACAGCCTTCAGCAGACACCCAAATGGGTGTATTTTTCATCTGCATCTCAAGCCACACACTATATACTGTATATATGGGCAAATGGAAGGAACTATTATACACAGCAAGACACCTGGCAATATGTATCTGAATCCAGAAGATTCCTCAGCTGTCGTAGCTCTTGAAGAGAGCAAGGTAGGTCTCACCACCCAACAGGGAAGACAATTCTTCTTTTGCAGAGTGCGGGATTAAAAAAAAAAATGTTTTAAGGTTACAGGTACCTGTAATACAGGGTAAGCTTAATAACTTGTCTGCAAATGTTTACTATAAAGCAAACCACAAGTTTATTTTCTTTGTAAATTGCAGTTAAAGTTAAAAGTAGTGCATGCATGTACACATGCAACACTATCAGGGTTATTCACAGAAGGGTGAAGAGTTTGGAGAAGGCACGAGAAGCGAACAATCTAGGACAACATAGCTGAACTGGAAAGTAAGCTGAATTGGAGAATTTTTCCAAATCAGCTATATTGTCCTAGATTGTTTACTTCTCCGGCCTTCTCCAAACTCTTCACCCTTTTGTGAATAACCCTGTATATGTCTTGTATGGCTTGTGTGGTTTCCCAGCTGCTGTACCAGCAGGACCTAGAATTCCCTAAAGCCAACCGTACACTAGCAGATTTTCGTACAAATGTTCATATGAAAAATATGGTCAGAACATTCAATAATGTCATCGAAGATATCTATATCTATAGATATATAGATATATCTATAGTATATGTTCTGTTTTAAGGTAGTGTTCTAGGTTGATTAAAATTGCATCTGCTTTTGACCACCTTGTACATCATTAGTCTTTTTAACTATTAAAAATACTTTTTTTTTATAAGCCGTAAAAAGATAACCTTCTGCATTTCATCTTCCACTCTGTTGCTCAGCCGCACGGTCTCATCCTCCAGAGCTCCCACCCGTTTGGCAGGGAAGGAACTGTCTGGTAGAAGCACCTCACAGACACAATGATCTTTCCCAGCTAGTCTGCCTGTAGCATTTTGGGCCACCTGTGAAAAGAAAAGAAAGTTGTAGAAACACTGGATACACGTCCTCCTGTTCTCCTGCAGCATTATATAGGATGGGAACATCACAATATGATGCATAAATACAGTATTTCATTGAGACTTTTTATTCAATCACTCCATCATACTCTATAATGGATCCCCTGTAATAATTTCTGTTATCACAGGTCAACTTGACTTTTTCTACAACAAGGGACCTTAGTCTACACCAAACAAGCAGTACAATGCATTTATATGACATCTTGAATGGCCCACAGTGGCCTGACCACAAGGCTTACAAAAAAGTATAATTTTCCTGTCTCATGTGGGCCGGTGAGTACTCACTTGTGTTCCTCCGCCTCAGTCAAAAGAATATTAATAAAGCCGAACTCCAGGCAAAGAGATAAATACACAGACAAAATACATTTACGGGAGCTGTTTTATCTGCCTAAGAATTTGTATTTTACAAATGTAGGCATTGGTGTGCACTGAAAAAAAAAAGGAGGACATACTGGTTGGAATTTATCAAAACTGGAGCAGACAGGATCTGGAGCAGTTGTCTATATTAACCAATCAGCTTCTCTCTTAAATTTGTCCATTTAAGAGTTGCAAATGAAAGATAGAAGCTGATTGGCTACTATGGGCAACTGCTCCATATTCTGTCTGCTCCAGTTTTGATAAATTCCTATCACTGATTTTTTTTTTGTTCAGAGCAGCAACCCTCTGCAGTGACTAAAGATGAATTAAATGTCATTTTGTTATATTTCTATAAAGCTGTAAAAACAGAAAAAAAGTAAACAGTACAATGTTTTTCTCCATGCATTGGCACTGCATATACCAGTGACCGCAGTATAATATGGCCGCTGGTGTGCAGGAGCCCTACTGATTTTTCTTATGCATAATTACACCATTCCTAAAAACAAGTCATTGCATATCAAATTTACTGATGACTGATATCCATACCCTTTATAGCGGCTACAACAGAAATACACTTGGGCACTTTAGTCGCACTATTTACCACTTTTGTGGTTTTTAGGGTTTAAATTGCAATGCAAACTAAGCAGAACCAGGTAACATACCAATAACAGTTAGTGGTAGGTTGCCATCATTAGTTTGATTCATTTTGTAATTGAAACTTGCTTGAAACTGAAAATTGTCTAGTGTATAGTCAGGGTGCAACTCCGGAAGATGACATTAGCATTTAGTGTTATTTTTCTTAGATTTGACTGGAAAGCAGAGTACTTTGTAAAATACTATAAGGTTGATGTCTGATGAACGATTCTACCACTAGAGACAAATCACCATTGGCAGGATCGCTAAAGATCGCTATGTAATTGCTCCCTCTGCAGCCAGATACAATGAGATGTTGTTCTGTCACTGGCCCGAACGCTGCTTATTCTCATTGTCTAGTGATAGGTGTGTCATTTTTCAAGGGTGCTAATCTATAGGGACAAATAGGCAGCCTCTTAACGATCCTAACACTGGCAATTTTGACAAATTACCAGCGGCAGGATCATAAGCAGCAGAGTCATCTGACTGACATCAGCCCAGCTTTGAAAATAACATTGGCTTTCTGATTGCAACTAATGAAAGAAATCATGATGCAAATATTTGATGTGGTGTCTGTTGAAGGTCAGTGTGTTCAAATCCTACTTTTCAGTGTCCTTTTTGTAAATGAGAAGTCCCTAGGGGCAGCATGGAGTAATCGGCTCACCTCAATACCTATCAACTTTGGGCTTTGGTGTAGGATGAAAGAGTAAATGTTACGGACTGTCTTGATGTACACATATTATAGGAGGCAGCAATAGGAGTCAATATAATAAGAGAGTGTACGTGGGTGTATTTGTGTGTATGGTTAGTCTATTTTTGTCCTGAGGGTAGAATGGCACAAAAATGGTAGTGGCAGATATGTCTGTGATGAGCCAGGAACATCTAAATCACAAATAGAAACACTTTAGCATGCATTAATGGTGGGAAATAATCATACAGTACACTAATTGTTATCATTTTAATTGCGTATACACACATGCGAGCTATTACATAAAACCACAGTAAAATGCAAGCAGGGGTACACATATTTAGCTAGCAGCAGACACCACTGGTTAACATTCATGGGGCAATTTGCAATCAGTCATGTTAACATTTTCATGGTTAACTGAGGAAGTAAGCCTGAGTTGCTGGCCTTCTCTCCTGGTCCCAATTCCAAAGACTTGAAGATCTATCCTTAGTAGGGATAGCCTCAGGTTTGATGCAAACTCAAACTCATGCAAACCCGGAAGTGCACATCCAATCAGCTGTGACCAGAGCACCCCCCCCAGCCACACGTACAAAGGATGGGGAGAGTGAAATACACTACTCCCCATAATTAGAGACAATGTCTGACACTGAAGCTGTCACATGTCGGCTTTACTGATTGGCAACTGAGTGACAACATACCGCCAACCGCTCAGTTCCCGATCATCTCGCTGCAGAGAGCAGTAACTGTCAGTCACCTCTCTTCGCAGTGATTCCCCCTTCTCCTCTCCGATTCTCCAGCACAAGGTATATGTCCTCCTGTGATCCTAAGGACAACTATGGGCAAAAAATGTTGACCCATAGTTCTCTTTTAATCACTGTCTACTCTACTGTATAGCCAGCTCTAGTTATCTGAACAGTATAGTATTAAGCCTTTAAAATCAGAATTACCTATAAAAAAATCATGTTTATATTGTTTTGCTTTTTTAGTTTGCCTAAGAATAATTCTCCGGGCTTAGATTGTGGAGCTAAGAGGTTAGAGCCCTCCTTGAGATTTGATGTTTGTGGCCTTATTCACTGCTGATAACACATGGTGTCATCCAGCTACTAAGTAAGTATAACAGTATGAACACAGAGCCCGATTGTTGGTTACATACCTATTAACTACACGCACTGTTATGTGATACTATTACACATTTTCAGGAGACTGCGTGGATTATCAGCATGAGGTCAGGCAGCTGGCAGAGCAGCAACTGTTAAGCTGCCCATGGTGGACAGCGCTGCCCCTCCACAGATACAGTAAAATGAATGAGTATTGTCATCCTGGGATAGAAAGCGTGTTACTGGCAGGATAACCAGGTAAAAATAAAGGAAAAAAAATACTGAAAACAGAAAACTAATGCAGTTTCCACATCTAAGGACTGGTAATTTGCAATAATGAATTTTTTTCTTCTTGAGTTCAGATCCGCTTTAAAGGGTTATTAAACCCTCGCGTGTTTTTGAAAAAGGCTTTAAACTTACCTGTGTCTTCGCCATGCGCTCCTGTCCAACATCTGAAAAGTCTCAGGCGGCCACAAAGGATTGTGGGGCGGGAGCATTTGCAGTTCAGATGTTCGGCCGGGAGATGAGGAGAGACACAAGGTAAGTCTATGGAGCAGCGTGCACCCGCACAGACACCTGTGGGACAGCAGAGAAGAGGAGGACAGAGGAGTCAGCGCTGGGTCGGAGACCCACACCAGCACTGGAGGGACAGCTGAAAAGGACAGTAAAGAAGAAGATGATCGGGTTAAGAGGCATCATTTAAGGTAAGTCCCTACAGCAGGATTTTAGAAGGGGGGAAAAAAAGTTTGACTTTAATGTCACTTTAAGCTCTCTAACACACCGTTGCTAAAAGGCCTAAGGATCCCAGCTAGTTTAATAGACTTTATGGAGCAAAAATGACCACCCAGACTCCTGACCCTGCTAAGACTTTGCTTCTAGTCCCTATATGAATTGTAGGCACGCCAGGGACTACTGGAAGGCAACCAGGAAGGATTACCATGGGTGGAAATGTGACCTGCTCATTTACTGTTTTATCATCTCTCTTCCAGTAATTGAATTAATATTGTCTAGAAATATCCACACCTGAATCAATAAACATTCACAGAGCTATTGCGTACTTTTGTCCACCCTCAACTGACAAGAACTCGACTCATATGAAACATGGTCACAACAGCGCAAAAAGAAAATACCAGAACCAAAAGGCAAAAGCAAATCCCTTTTACTGTAAGATGGCCTTCTCACCAGCCACACACATTCGCTCATCACTGGAACATCTTCATCCCAAGATATCTCACTGTCTTGTCCAGAGCCAGACTCCTCTTGGTAATTTCTGGTGTGGTTACGCCATCCTTTCATCAGTAATCGACTGTCAATAGACATCACGTGCAAATCACATTTTCAAGAGCACAATACAAAATTAAAAAGATTAAGCATATAAAATAATGGGACACATTTATAAAACACAGCCCATCAATATGTTGCAAGTTTCCAAAGGTAAATGTAAAAGGGTCAAAGGAAGTTATACAATGCCATAGTTGGGCCTCATTAGCATAATCACTATATTTAACAAAAGTTAAAAACAGTGAGTGATAGTCATCCTCACCAGTCACAGTTTAGTAGACAATTTTCCACCTGTTTTTTTTTTTTACAGTCGTTGATCCGGGTGGTGTTGGCAGGGCCACCCTAGATCAAATTTCAGTCGGTTCAGCAGGAAACAGCCAATATTCAAACTGTGTATGGCCAGCTTAAGCATGGCTATTCATGATGAGAAATCGTGTGCAGTAATGCAGAGCAATTATTCAACAATCGCCTTACATTACTTGTTTTACACGAGATTAGTAAAAGCTAATATTAGTTTGGCTGTCATGAAAAGCAACATGTTCAAGTGTATCTTAACCCAAAACTTTTTATTTTGTCATTTTAAATAGCATAAGAAATTAACAAAACCCATATCAGATTTTTTTTTTTTTTTGCCATCTGTGTCCCATTGAGACGATTTCCCTTCATTTCTTGTCCTATAGCCACAGAACAGAAGAAGTGAGTAAAACCCTTCAAAGTGAGGGAAACCCCTTCAGCATTTTTTAGAATAAATGTCCCAATTGGAAGATTTCCACTCACTTCCTATTCTATGACAACTGCACATTTTAGATCTTCCCTCACGTTTAGTCACCCAGACAATGGAAAGAGTAAATCTCCCAGCGAGGGCACAGAAATAAATCCGAGGACGCAAA